CACAAGATTCCGCATTTCTGGTGAAACGGGCAGTAAAACTAAAAATCATCTTGATAGTTTAATCTTTTTTTGATTGAAACCATCTAAAGTTGGAATGACTGTATATATAATTTTTATTTGATAGAAAACAAGTTAATTTTTCATTCCTAAAACTTAACGAACAAATAGATTTTATATCACGTAAGTTTGGGATTTGTGTGGGCAAAAATATATTACCAAACAAATTATGTCCTGTTTCATGATGTTCATTTTGTCCCCAGCTAAATACTGAAGTATCGCACGTAACGGCAAATGAGTTAAAATTATAACAAAATATGTCCGTGATCACATTATTTGCACAATTTATAAATGCTGGTTTTGAGAAATACTGTTCATTATACCCGCAACCAATTTGTCCGTAACTATTGTCACCCCACGCGTACACCTCTCCATCGGTGGTTAGGGCCAGGGAGTGGTGACTACCGCAACATATATGTTTTATTTTCACATCATTCAAACATATTTTGTCAGGTTTAACAAAAATATTAATTGGTGTCACATCTCTACCGCATTGTCCCTTATCATTGTGTCCCCAACTGAACACATGCCTGTCTTTATTGATAGCCAACACAAAGTTATATCCAGTGATAAACTTTGTGATTTGTTTTCCACACAATTCGGGTATAATTTGTGGTACATTTACTTGATTATTATGACCCAATCCCAAACATCCCATACTATTTTTACCCAAACCGTACACTAAGTCACATCGTGTAACAAACAGTATATTCGTCTCATTACTCCAGTCATTGAAAACTATAAATATAGTCAAGTCTTTGGCCCTAATCCTTTTTATTATTTTTGAGAAAGTAGTACAGTGTGTAGACACCATAAAAATTTCTATGAGATAAATTAAATTGACAGTATAATCCCTAATATTTGTAGTAAATTAATTTAATTTTAGACCAAATTAACATAATTGTGAAATAAAATAATTTAAATGTCAAATTAATTAATATAATTATGAACTAAATTAACTTAATTATTAGCTGAATTAACTGAATTGTGAGCTAAATTAACTTAAATTTGATATTAATTGATTAAAATTTGATTTAAATTAACTTAATTGGGATCAAAATTCAGTTAATTATGGATTAAATTAACTAAATTGTAATTTCAATCTTACTGGTTTCTTGAAATATAATCAAAAGTTTAGGATTCAAAGTTAATTAGTGGTTATATAAAATAATTTTATTGGTAATTAAGTAAATTATGATAACAATTAAATTAAGTAATTTCAAACTTAAGTTAATAAAGTTCACAATTAAGTAAATTTGGTTTGAAATTAAATTAAACCTAATTTAAAAGGATCTAATATTCCAAATGATTAAAATAGAATCACATTTAAAGCACGTGTTTTACTTTAAAATAAGTTAACAATTAATAAAATATTTTATAAAAAATTTATAAAGTCACGTGTTTTATATCTAATGTAAACATTACATGTTTTAGTTATTACATGTTTTACATTTACACCGTGTATATAATTTTATGTTATCATAACCGGTTCTATCCGAACTCTTGGGCCAAACACTCGACTATAACTATAAATAATTTTATTTGGTTTTTCAAATTTGTATTAATCTTTTGACAAATTCCAAATTTGCTCATAACAGACATTTTCAATGCATTCAATCAAAAATTTACCGTATTAGATAATGATATACAAATTATTTTAAAAATATAATAAACATAAAAACATACTTTTACAAACATCACCACAACAATAAATAACAATGGCCGTCCATTACAATGTATGAAATATTGTTCCCATTGAATATAGATAAAGTCTAAAAAGGGTTCGTCAAATAATGACTATTATATATTTTATTGTATTTGTCACCAGTTGTATTGTATAAGATTTATTTTCGTGAAATATTCTATCTATGAGATATATTAAATTTTAAATTGAAAGTTATTCATTTATAAAAAATTATAACCCAATTAAATATAACTATGAATTTGTATAATGAATGTCTCATTCAATTTTATATTTTAATTTTCATATAATTATATTCTCAATTCAAAAATATTAAGGTATTTTATTTAAGCAAAATATAAAATATTTTATTTACATACAATAAACATACACTTGAATTTATAAATAAACCAACATACTATAAAAAATTTATACTAGAACCATAAATAAACATCAACCAAAATATTAAAATGTAAAAAATAACATACTATAGAAATATTATTAAAAGATTTATGAATCGGGTACCGGTTAGTTATGATGTATATAACTGACATAATATAAGAAATTAATAATTTGTATTAACATCGAAATGAAACATTTAGATTAATTTACAGATACATTAGGTGAATTCAATAATCAATTACCCAATATTTAATATTATATTTTCCTTTGAATTTGGTAACTAAATCATAATAGGTTTTATTGGTGAAATTGGGATTTAATGTTGCTGATTTTCATCATAAATTATATTACTCTAATGGATCTTGAATTGGACATCAATACCTTTAAAACAAGCTAATAAGAAATAAGCTGTGATTTGTTTATTTTACAATGATAAAAATATATAAAATACATGTCACTTAAATACCTCTTAATTAACCGGTACCCCTAATAAAAGTGTTCGCATAAATTTAATACTAGACTCATTGAGAATATTCCGATCAATAGCCCATTCATTATATTTAATCAAAACTTGTGAACATTCAGGCCTACGGTTCCAGCGAGGAGTCGTTAGCATTGACAGCAATAAGTTTTGCAATGAATTTACTTTTGTGTTTAAGATTTCATTCGCGGCGTAAAGGTTTTCAGATCTATTAAGTATATAAATAATGAATTTAGAAGTAGTGATTATATAAAATTTAGTTGGTAACATCGATGGACGAACATAAATTGAGTGGTTATGATCGTGATGAATAGCTAGCCAGTAACATAATTAACATTTTAAATTTACTAGACTTGGCGAATTAAGTAAATTAGTTGAATTTGCATTCAATTAATGCTGACATCCTGATTTTGTCATTGAAATAACAAGTCATTTGTCATAAGTCAAGAATGTCAACGGCTTTGTATAATAAAACATTTTTGCAATAACTACCATTATATAGACATTATGGATAATACTAGTAAAATACGGTATATTCATTTAAATCAAGTGTTATTTCAATTACGAAATGAGAATGTCAGCAATAGGTTAAAGTGAATTAAACAAGCTAATTTAATTAATTTAGTTAATTCAAAATGTTAATTATGATACTGTTTATCTATTCATTATAGTCATAATCACTCGTTACTCGATGTTCCCAACTTAGACTTACTCATTAGTATCGAGTTCAAATAGTTCTCCCCCAATTAATGCAAGACTATAGATATCTGCTTTATGCCCATATTTGTTGCCCTGTACAATTTCGGGTGCCTGGTATTTTAATGTACACACACCAGGCGTGTGTTTGTTAGATGTTCGATAATGAATGCGTTTGTCGTGAACTGTAGCCAAACCAAAGTCACATAACTTAATAAATCTACCGTTCCTTACATTTTCGGTAATTAATATGTTTTCTGGTTTGAGGTCTCTGTGAATAATCTGTGGATTCAATTCATGCAAATACTGAACAGATTCTAAAATCTGACGGTATATTTCACACGAAATGAAATACTCGACACAATCCATAGCTTCGCCTGATTGTCGATCAAATACCTGTGGCTTTACTTCCAGAATATTCTTTAGATTTTGTGAACATAACTCCATCCGAGTGTATATTATATTATCATCTCTCCATGAATTGAAATATTTTACCACATATTCTGAACGCTTTTGTTTTAGAGTTTCCATTTCATTATAAATATATGTTAAGTATTCATCAATTACATCTAAAAATTATATTAATAAATTAATATTTTAATACATTTTTAATATCTATATTTACTTTCAAACTTTAATATTTTGACGGCATATAACTGTTTATCAATTTTATGTTTTACTTTATATACAGTTCCGAAGCCTCCCGAACCGATTGGTGATAACTCTTCGAAGAGATTTGAATACTTATTTTCAAATGAATTGTTTCCTAACAATAAAATTTTACTTTTCAACTCACAATTTGCGACACAATTTGACCGATTATTGTCTTCGGTATTATATGCGGACAAAATTGCAATTATTGTTTCGGACAGTAATTATCTCTGTCCTTCATCAGCGCAATCACTGTCTATAACTGACAGTACTTTTGGTCTGTTTAGGCAATAGTGTGGAGAGAGTGACCGTAAAAGGGATATTTGAGACCACTTTGAAGTATGCACTAAATTAGTGAAAAACTTCA